TGTTAGAAAGAAAATATAATATAGTAATATTATATTACTAATTATTTATATATTAATTAGTAATATAATATTACTAATCATTACCAGTTTTTCGAAAACGTACGTCTATTGTAGAACCGGTAGTGTATCCACATTTAAACTGTAGCAAAGCAAGAGTTAGTAAATGGGTTTGCTTTGTTAAATGCTTTATTTCCAGCGTGAGCTGTAAAAATTATTAATCTCCTTGGAATCGGATCTGGCTATATAATACTTTGCGTTCTGAAGCAATAAAACTTTTATATTTGCCGTTCATTTTGAAAGCCACTGTAGTATTTTTATTGGTCGTTATTGAGTAAATGTATACCGTTCACAAAATTAGACGAATTGGATAATGAAAACAATGTATCAAAAAGCCAAATAGAGTACAAAGGCTTTTTAAAATTTATCTCGATTGGATTGGGTAGAACGTGGTTGAAAACTTGGAAATGATCTTAATAATGAAGAGGTTTAATCTTAGTTTTAATACTGGAATGAAATTATCGTAGGTAATACCACGAGCGCTTTGGAAATTGTCGATAAATCTCTGACTCGCGAAGCGATGAGGGAATTTATCAGAGAATGTCAAAAGTACGAGTGGTATTCAATAGGACTATTCCACGAAAGAAATTTTGTCCAAAAGGTTAGAAAATGCGCCAAATATTGAAAATAACTGAAAGCTATGTTAAAATCAAAAAGGTTATGTTATAGTGCATACTCAGTTAATTGAACATCGACATAGCGATAGATGTGTACCGCCTCCTAAGAGAGATGAATCCCAGTTTATGATTGGCCAGTAGGAAGAAACATTGGATAGGAAAGCCGATAAACTATTGCAGATACACCGCCCTGATTGGGTCATTTTGTATGTATTGTTAAACCCTATTAGTTTCAATTTCACGAATGGAATAGGCAGCATGAAATTGAATCGTGTTTTCATTTCGAGCTCCTAATGTCTTGGAAAATATATAAAATAAAGTTGTAAAATGTTACTGAAAAATTATGCCGTACGAGTCTCCCCAAAATGCAAGCAACTTCCATTTGCCTTTCAGTTGTTGGCGTGGAAAGATACTCGACTCTTGTAGGTGCCTGGTGTTATACCACGTTTCCTGAGATAATCTTCCTTAACCCTTAGGTTATCAGGGAACGGCTGTTCCAAAATATTCATGTTACTGTGTTGGGTTGCGAGAGCAAGGCCGTCTGTACATGCGAATTTTTCTATCTGGTTTAAGACAAGATTAACGTTAACTGCCTGTCGAAGACTAAATGCGGAGGCTGCAAATCCTCAATACTCCAGTACTCCTTGCGTCGCTACTCGCCATTTGCATTCCTTGTTGTTGTCTGAAGAGGTCAAAACGATGTAATTTTCTTTTCACTGCTACTAGATTTCCGCTCTATGTGTTACTATACTGTGTTAATATTTACTTACAATGATGTTCGCACCTTAGGCACTATGAACTACATTCAATACGTCCTAGAAATGATTTGTAGGTTTAACAATGGGCTTTTCAGAAGGATTGTGTCGTCAGAAGTGCAACCAGCAAGGAACGAAAAGGGCTGTTGCTCAGAAATATATAGTTTTAACGGCGACTTTTTGACTTCGCCAAAACGCTCCTTCCCCATTCGTGATAGGAGAGCAGGGAGGATAGTGTACGTTAATATCGCTTCGATATATGAAGACCGTTTATTGAAAAATTGCGAGTCAAAGCTGAAGCTCTTTCTCCTTCTCATCTCTGGTTGCATCACAGTCATAAAGATTTCAACTATAGTATAATTCATTCCTTATAATATTTTGGTGTAAATCTAATGCAGTTGCCGTTGTATCCTTTTAAACAGATAATGAGAAGAGAGATAATGCCAATCCTATAATCTTAAAGGTCAATCTGACATTTTAAGATTCCTGAAGAGAATCAGTGTCTGGAATTTAAATCGGTAAAGCAGTGATAAATCCCGACGATACTATTATGAAGTAAGGACTAACAATTCAATGTTATTCCACTCTACGATAATTGTTCTAATATTCTCATCATTGACGAAAACTGTTATGTCTCTTACGTGAGTCTATATGTTATTTATATTACATTTTTTATACGTCAGAACTCTTGGGAGCAGATCCAATGATTCCCTTCAAATAAGACGCATTGCTGGATAACCCTCTTTAACACTACTGAATGGATTCAGTTAACATCGATGTTTCTAAATATTGTGGTCCAAATAAAAGCATCGATGTTAATAAAAAACCGCCTCGAAACAATGCTTGATTTTTAACATGTTTTTAATAGTGCATTAGTGACTATTAATGTTCATTAATGAAGACAATTTACTTGGGGTTCAAAGGTTCACTGATTTTTAATTGAGATTTAATTGACAAAACAGTGAAAAATGACCCAAAGTTTTGACATTAAACAAAACTTTTCTCACCCGACTTGATAATTCAAAAATTTTGTCGTCTTCGTTCATCAAAAATGAAAATATGATTTTGATTGTTCTCACTTTGGATCACATTGGTTTAAAGAAAATGTATAAAAATCCGAAAATCATTACAGGCCTTCATTATGATGGTATTTTCTACATTAAACAATTAAATTTAATGTCATCCACATTATAACATCGATGTTTTGAAAACGTCGACATCGATGTTGCATCCCTACAATGACCGACGCAGCAACGGCTTCAGTCATATTTATCCATCACTTGTGTACTTTTCTAATTGAGCGTGGGGTCGCGACTGAAATTCTCGAAAGATAACGTGTCTGCCATGATCCCAGAATTCTCGTACATGTCGCAAACATAATCTAACCTTTTGGCAGACGTCCGCCCTTTCAAAGTCCACGCCCTTCGAAATGACGAAAATAATCAGGGAGTAAAATAAGTTCAGACACAAGGTTGCCAAAATGTCTGAAATATATTCGAATAATTTATTCATATTTATCACCGACAACGTTCCCAGTTTGGTGTATCAAAAAGTAAATTACATGACAAGAGTTTCAACAACCAGAGGCAAGTGAATAAAGTGAAATCTCACTTCATTTGCTTATAATCATTCAAATGAGGCAAATTGTATTGAAGCTACCGCTTACGCAGTTGAGAGAGTTATGTAACACTGCGGGAAAAGCAGAAAATGCCGGGTATCCATGTTTTTTTGTCATTGATTCCCAAAAATCGATTGACAGCAAAACGTGTCTATAAACCACGCTTGCAGATAAACCGTTCAGCTGATTTTCTCCAAAATTGATATTCCCCCATTGATCTGGCTGATGTCGCGGCTCCTTGAATTGGAAACCGATATTTTAATTTTGGGGAATTCTTTACATTAAGCTCGTGAACGTTTCCAAAATTAAAAAAAAAAAAGGCGACTCCAACGTTTTTGACAAAATTTTGTTGCTGGATAGTCTGAAGAACGTTTAAGAGAATAGTTCCGGTGACATGTTCATGGAAAACCATAATTTTTCGCAAATAGCAAAAGTTATTTTTCGGAGACGTCTACAACTGCAATATTATGAAGGCAAACTTTTTACTTTCCCGTGTATGTACGTATATAGAGAGTAATACATATAGAGATCGTTTTGTAATGCAGAAAATCAATTTCGCTGTTTAAACGGAAATACACGTTTTGGGGTCTCCCGATGAAACCGAAATACTGTGAAAATGTCAAAAAATTCACTTCGGGCGGCGATAGATGGCAGCTGGCAAGAGTATGTGGCTAGTTCGTATATATAGCCGATACCAATGGAAATAGAAAAGTAATACGGGAAAGACTGTGCCATTCAGTAGCTTCTTCTTAAGTTGGCAGTACAACCCGAGCCACTCCTACCTTCCCGAGACCTACCTTCTGCCGCTCCTTTCTGTCTTGAGCAATCTTTTCCCAATTCTTAATTTTCATTCTGCATAGGTCTTTCACAGTGTCATCTTTTCATTTTGTTTCTGGTCTACCATTACACCTCGTAACTATCGGTTTCCATTCTGTAATTTTCTCTCATTATTTTTCAATCACCAGATATTATCACAGTCTCGTAAGGCCATCGATTTTTCTCAAGATATTTCTTTTAAATATACTTAATTTTGTAGACTGTTGCTTCAGTACCCATATTTCGCACCCATAAAACACTAAACAGTATTGTATAGTTTCAATTTTGAATATTGTAATAGGAATTGACTGTCAAAGAGTTTCAGGTACACATTTCACCCTGTTTCCGTCCTTTCGCCCCGTTTTCCGTCCTTTCCGCCCGTTTTCCGTCCTTTCGCCCCTTTCCGTTCCTTCGCCCCGTTTCGTCCTTTCGCCCCGTGGGCCGGTCCTTTCGCCCCGTTTCCGTTCCTTCGCCCCGTTTCCGTCCTTTTGTTCTGCCGCCCCGTTTCCGTCCTTTCGCCCCGTTTCCCGTCCTTTCGCCCCGTTTCCGTCCTTTCGCCCGTTTCCCGTCTTTGCGCCCCGTTTCCGTCCTTTCGCCCCGTTTCCGTCCTTTCGCCCCGTTTCCGTCCTTTCGCCCCGTTTCCGTCTTTTCGCCCGTGTTTTACGCCCCTTTTGTCCTCTTCCGCTTTCGCCCCGTTTTCCGTCCTTTCGCCCCGTTATCCGTCCTTTCGCCCCGTTTCGTCCTTTCGCCCCGTTTCCGTCCTTTTCGCCCCGTTTCGTCCTTTCGCCCCCGTTTCCTCCTTTTTTCGCCCCGTTTTCCGTCCTTTCGCCCGTTTCCGTCCTTTCGCCCCGTTTCCGTCCTTTCGCCCCGTTTCCGCCTTTCCGCCCGTTTTCCGTTCCTTTCGCCCCGTTCGTCCTTTCGCCCCGTTTCCGTCCTTTCGCCCCGTTTCCGTCCTTTTCTATGTTGTGCTACTTTTGTGTGTAAAGATTCAAAAACAGTACAAAACTTCTATTCACCTTCCACAGTTATAAATTGATTCTGTGAAGTGTGCATTAAAACATTCTTTAAATAAATAACTTCAATAATTATTCCTAATATAGATTTATTTGGTAGTATAAATACAACATTCTGTTTCAGGAATTGCAAGAAAATATGATTCGACAAATGGATGAACAATTTAAAGAAATAGTTGGACACATGGTTGAGGGCATTGACAATGTAGATCATGTAAATCATTTCCATTATGACAATGCCAAATATAGCAACAGAGTGTAAGTATTTTATTAATTATCAATTGTGGGTTTATTACAATTCAATTTAAGCATGAAATTAATAATTTGTACAACATTGGATCCACAGGAAATCATCAAAAGATGGAAAGCTCTCAGACAAAATATTTTTAGCTCGTGAGTCTCTTCTTACTGATCTTTTTCAGATTAAACATTTCTACACAATATACAATATCTTCATTGCAATTCTTATAATTCTTTTCCTCAATACTGCTGTATATGACATTGTTTCCACTGGAACGTAAGTATTAATTTCTTACCCATTCGCAAATCTTTGAACTTGTAGCAACAAATTTAATGCTTTTTTTTTTTTTAAATTTTTTTTTAATAAGTGTTTTTTATTGCAACTTTTAAACGGTGTATCATATGAAGGTGTATTATATGAATTACAAATTTAAATCAGTTATAAACTTAAAATGAATTATGAATTTCATAAAATTATTTTGTAACTCTTTTAAATCATTTGATTAATAGATACAATTTAAGAACTTTCATATTGGATATGGTTAATGGTTTTATAATTTCAGAAAGTGACAATTTGCAATGAGATTTTTGTGGACCTTTTCCTTTGTTCAAGGTTGAATTTGGGATTATCATTAATTCAATGGAATTTTGGGAAATTCCACATATTTTTTTTAATGTGGATATTAATGATGATTGGAACTGTTGGTGTGTACTGTTCGATGCACTTTTGGGCTCATTACAGAAAAGAGTATTATGGAAAGTGTAAGTGAATTGTGGGAAGAAACAATATTATAGTGAAAATTGCTTCTGTTTTTGTGTTCATAGAGCTTTAGCTCTAGTGTAATTGCCTTTAGTCATAAACTTGTCTTTATAACTAACTGCTTGTGGAATGAGTTAATATTTTTTACTGCTTTATCTTACTATCTTTCTGAGCTATTCAATCATGCAAATCACTATAACCAATGCAAGTTGACTACTACACCTTCAATTATTTGTGGTGGTGGCACTTTGTGTGTTCTCTGCATGTTATGGCACCTTTCTTTACAGCTGCTTCAAGGAAAGCATGGGATTATGGGTGGTTAGGCTTATACATCATTTATCAAGTCATCTTTGGAATATGGCCTGTGGCGCAAGTATTGAAGTATAATCTTCCTCCAGCTTCATCAATGGCACTCCTTATGGAACAGGTATTATTTACACTTTTTTCATGACAGGCACAAATTATGAATGTTGATATTTTGACTCTTAAGCTTCCTTTTAATAACTTTTTAATTTTGTTAGATCTATTTGTTTTGTTTCATGTAATCACAAACACACTATTGAATCTGCTGCATACCTTTGTTTCTTTTCAAATAGGAAGTCTTTAAGTGTATGGTACTGTTGGTCAAAACTAAAAAATGATTATAACATTTTATTGCTGCAAATGTTTTGGTCCATTCATCAAACCTACATTGAGCTACAGTAATAATAGTACAATATCGTTTAGTATATCAGAAATAAAATGATCATATATATCTTCCACACTTTTATTTTAACTGAAAAATGATTCCATTTTAGAAAAGTTAAAATAGTAATAATAATAGTAATGATAATAATAATAATAATAATAATAATAATAATAATAATAATAGTAATAATAATAATAATAGTAATAATAATAATAATAGTAATAGTAATAGTAATAATAAAATGTTTCTTGTCTAATATTTCCCTGTTTCTGTAATTATCATCTGTTCCAAACTACTTTTCAAAATATTATATTATTTATTATTCAAATGTTTCCCTGCATGATAGATCACATTCACACACTATGCTTCTTTACTGACATGTCTTTTAGTATAGAACATCAAATATTCCACCTCTGCATGTCCTTGAAAATGTGCAGTGCAATTTCTTCCTTTCCAAAGGAATGTTGCAAATAAATGAAGTGATCAAATCAAGTTTAAGGAGTTATAATTTAAATTTTCTACCATACCAGTCTATTCTTAACATTACAATGCTCATATTGAAGGTTAATTTTATACAGACAATTATCATAATAGCCATTTATGATACAAGTGGTAAAAGTGACCTTTCTTTATTATGAATTATTTGTTAAAAACTTAAAGAGCATGAGTAATGGTCAAAAGAACATGTTATTTCGGATATAACAAGCCGGGAGAGGTGGCTCAGGCCATTAACTGATGTCAGTGCAGTGGCTCTGGCTGGGAGGTTCTGGGGTTTGAGTCCCGACGGTGGCAGGATTTCCGACACTAGCTAGATAGCTAGGTCGAGTTCTGTCGCTGTCCAAAGGAGAATTCTAGCGGTCGGCTGCTCTCGTTTTCCGTGGTTTCTCCGATCAATACCAGGCGAATTCTGAAGTAGTGCCCTAGCAAATGGGCCACGGACCGTGCGCGATCTGCCTCTCCATTCTTTGCCCTATCCTACCCCTTACTTGCACTAACATGCACTACACTACAACACACGCCGGGAGACTGGTTGGGAGCTTAGAGCTTGTCGCGACTGAGATGGGAAATACCGGGCCCTGCTGGTGGGAGACACCTGGTTAGGGGAACACCCCGCTAGTCGACCGTATGTCGGCTCCGGATCCCGCCATCCAGTGAGGCAAGATCACCGCCAGCTCCCGAGCAAAGATGTGCACTACACGTATAACAGTACCCTTGTGGCATTTGCCCCTGAAAGTTATATTGCCCCTAATGCACTGGTGTTGGTAAACAAATACTTTATGCACCTGGATGGTAAACAAATTCTTTCTGTATCAGAACATAATATTTCTATATCGTATGTTAATTTATTGTATTATATCTTGTGCACGAACTTAATTCAGTTTGGTTTTTGTATTATTCATTAGTTTATATTATCTGTGTTCATTATAATGGATTGATTTTACAGGTTCGATTGATTATGAAATCCCATGCATTTGTAAGAAGCAATATACCTCGTGCTCTTACTTACAAACCTCATTCTGAACAGGATGAGAAAAAATTGATACCAGAATTTGGCCATTTTTTGTATTTTTTGTTTGTACCAACTCTTGTGTACAGGGATTCTTACCCAAGGTTTGTTTCATAACATTTCATTTACCTTTTCTGATATTATTCAATTTCAGGTAGTAAGTGAAATCATAATATGTTCTATTTTCACAGAACCCATAAAATATCATGGCATAAAGTAATATGGCATTTCCTGGAAGTGGTGGGAGTTATTTTCTATGTGAGTTTTATTTTTGAAAGATTTCTTGTGCCATTGTTCAACCAATATGGTGTGAAGCATTTTGGTCCTGAACATCTTGTAGTATCCATTTTTGGCAGCATGATGCCAGCAACACTTGCATTCCTTTGTGCATTTTTTGGCCTTTTACACTCTTGGATGAATGCATTTGCTGAGATGACCCGTTTTGCTGATAGAATGTTTTACAAGGTAATTGTATGAAGAGTGTATTTATTAGTGTGTAATACTTAAATGCTACTTTCAATCCGTTTTCAAGTAATTTTTATTTGATAGCCTATAAAGGTGGATATAGGCTTATCTCATCATAAAAGTTTACATTCTTGAACACATGAAATGGAGAATTGCATGGTATGTAAATGAACCATAACCTTGATCAATGCCCTAACTTTTTTGGTCATTTCTCAAATATCAAGGTGCATTTCATCACCAACTTCAAGATCAAAGCATGTTTTCATTCCTGATATCTTCACTTTCACTAAGTGTGTGATCCCACATTTTCTTCTTTCAAGTCCAATTCATTTGTATTCAAATACGAAGGTTTTATTTCAAAAAGTCAGGGAAAGTAAATGGAGAAAGTCGTAATATGTTTATTGCATTCATTATGTTTTCCAAACAACTTAGAAGAAAATTGACAAGAGAACCTTCATGCTGAAAAACACAAAATGTTTTATGAAATATGTTTGGACTTTTCAAAGAATTGACTGCATCAACCAGAATCGAACCTGCGTAGTATGCACAGAATTATTTGTGTTCCTTTCTCGTTTACTAATCTGTAGTACAGGGAAGGTTATCTAATGCTGCGACGAAATATGCCGTTTTCTCGACAGAAAAAAACACTTTGCTTCTCCGATGCTGAAGAGGTTGATTTTTCTTATTGGCGTAGGCAATATATTACTTTTTCGAGTGCATAATGTAGTCGGAATACACGTTTCGAGGGACCAGATGGTTTTCGGCAAAATGCCTAATATTTCCGTCAGCAACAAGCTAGCGCTATGTAAAACTTCCACCAGTTTCCTATTCCCCGATCGATCTGCTCATGTCCCGGATATTTTCCTGAAATTAAAAACTATGTATAGTTGTGCTAGTACTTGATTTCGATCATTTGAAAGGTGGCTTAAACTGTAAGGACTCATTTTACGGAACCTAGGTGCCAAGGTTTGCGCCTAGCCCTGCGGGTCGATGTGTTACAGTTATGAACAGTGTTGCTCACAAAGCCTCCCTCCGCCCAAAAAAAATTGGAGTGGTATTGGAGTATCAGTGGATCTTTACTTTCTCGTATACGTAGGAGTAATATTCATAGTATTGGAAAAGTTGTGTAAAGTTGCGGTATACCTATTTCGAGAATTCAACGAAAGAAATGTTTGTGTGTCCCTCGGTTCCGAAAGGTTATTTTTTTTAACGTGTCCGTCCATCTCTATCTCTATCTCCCTCTATCTCTATCTCCCTCTATCTCTATCTCCCTCTATCTCTATCTCCCTCTATCTCTCTCTTTCTCTCTCTTTCTCTCTCTCTTTCTCTCTCTCTTTCTCTTTCTCTCTCTCTTTCTCTCTCTCTTTCTCTCTTTCTCTCTCTCTTTCTCTCTCTTTCTCTCTCTTTCTCTCTTTCTCTCTCTCTCTCTCTTTCTCTCTCTCTCTTTCTCTCTCTCTTTCTCTCTCTTTCTCTCTCTGCCCGTTCGTCCATCAGCCGGTCCTTCGGTTCCACCGTTTTTTTCCAAAATGGATATATGCGGTAGATGTAGCTCGACTCGTGGCTTTGCGATTTTGAAAAACATTCTTTAATATTAGGGGGTACTTTACAGAAGCCACAGGGACGCTTTCGAAATTTTCTCAAAATTCGCATGAATCAGTTACAAACGGCTATCTCCAATTCTTCTAACATTGCAAATGTTTGAAATTTTGTTGGCGTGATGATTTGATGATTTTCCTTCAAATAAAATATGTTGTTCATCATTAGTACTTTCATAAACATCGTGCACATTTTTTGAAACTTTTGGTAGTTTTTGCAGAATATTAAAAAATGTCAAAACAAGAATTTCTTAAAAAAACGATCCAAAGTTTTTCTTTAAACTTTTGGTGTGGATAGTGCTAAATGTACAGTAACATGAGAAAACACCATTAGATGTATTTCGTGTATTCTTTTCTTTACTTTCAAAAATCAGAATTTTTTTTGACATTTCTCACATCGTCAATATTTATATTATTTACAATTTGTATACATTATTGCATTTACAAGTACATGTGTTTTAAATGACATCTTATAAATTTCCTCGGAAACTTAAAAGTTTTCTGTGCAAATAAGCACAAATTTTCTCATTTTCAGAAATCCTCGAACTCTATTTTCTCAGAAATTGTTAAAAAATTTATCTTCAAAATGTTTGTACGGATAGTGTTAAACACACTGTATAAGATGACAAAAGTCATTTTTTAAAAAATTGCGAAAATGTATTTTTTTAAATATCTCTCTCAAGTCGTTGCTCATATACAAAAAAGTATATTTTATTGCATTTAGAGTGGAAATGCTTCCAATGACTTCTAATGAAGTTTTTTGGAAACTCAAAAATAGCCGAAGAAATTAGAAAACTAGTGCGTGCAAGTATATGCCATTCTATAGAACACTTTCTCGTGTACGTATGTATTTACAGAGAATATACGTAGTATAGAGAACGTTACGTGATTCTGCGGTAAATCGATTTCGAGATGACAATGGAAATGCACATTTTGGGGTCTTTGATACCGAGAAAGTGGTGTTTTTTTTTTTCTTCTTCTTCAAAACCCGGTCAGTCCGTCCGTCTGTCCGTTAACAACACTAGCACCTTTTCTCAAAAATGGCGTAAAATTTTGTCTTTAAAAGTCTTGAAAGAATATAGTGAAATGCGCTTATAATGGTGGAATGTGTCCGATTTTCGGTGTTAACTCCAAATTTTTGAAAATTGCAAAAGTTTGAAATTTTGTCGGAATCTTTCTACAACTCCAAATATGAAGAAAAAAAATCGAAGATTGATAGCCCATCGAGTGGCATAACTAGCGGCAAAGTAAAATTAGTTTGTACCATCATAAGATATTTTCGTCTTTTCCTAGTACTTCCAAAAATATGAATTGTAACCATTTGATTATCTAGCTTGAAATTACAGTATTTTGTTCTGTCATCTCATTTTTACCATGTGTGTAGAATGATATACCAAATTTTGCTGTTCATAATCACAGATAGATACTATCAGTACTAATACATACGTACTCTCTTTACTTGCTCGTACATGCCCTATTTACGGAGTAATGCACGTGATATAAAAGAAAGTTATGTAATGCTGTCAAAAATCCAGGGAGCGATTTTGAAATACACAAAATGTTGGGGTCCCCCCTCATCATGAAAGGTTGATTTGTAAAACATCTTTCCCTGAGCCCGACCGTCCGTCCGCCAACTCGAGACAGATTTCAAAATTAGATTTTGTATTTTTAAAAGTAATGTGTTGTTTTTTGTTTATTTTTTAAATATAATTGTTTTTGTGTAAGTTGGTGTTGGTGAATTAATTATTACATAAACAAGGTTTTCTGCAATATGGAATCTTTTGGAATTTTTTTCTTATTCTATCTCGTCCAATTTTCTTTAAAACCTCTGAATTTTCAAATATTTCAAATACTGATTTTGATACCTTATTTTCCATACTGATTTGATAAATGTACACTTTTTCCCCGGTTTTAGAATTTCTTCTGATCTGTGAAACATGTTGGAATGAAAAATTCATACTTCTTGGTCTCGTGTTCATGAAAACTGGCTTTACTCGTAAAACTTTATTCACTTTAGGGCTTCCTCTGGGACGTAATTTGATTTAAAGTTATTACCGACCGTGCACTTCTTCAGCTTCTGTATTTTCCCCGAGGATGTATCTAAATCGCGACCAAGCAGCTGACCGACTGAGGTAGCTCAGGGCATCAACCTCTAGTCTTTGGCTAGGCCCTAGGGTTCGAGTCCCGACGATGGAGAGATTTTCGACTCCAGCTAGATCACAACTTGTGTTGATAGTATAGTAAGTGGAAGTAGTACTGTAAGTAGGGGATAGTATAGAGGTTGTCATACCGGACTACTGATCCCAAGATTGCAGGTTCAAGACCGGCCAAAGTCAGGGAATTTTTGAGGTGCCAAACATCGACGGCATGCATGCGGACGCTTGTCGGCATGTATCCCAAGAAAGGTACTTGGCCGATCTGGACAAAATGAAATTCTCTTGTAATTTAGCGCCAATTAGTATCGATTTGAATAACTGGATAAGATTCCGATTAGTGTATCTTGAAGTATAAGAGCTAGATCACTAGAACGAGGTCCGAAGTCCGTTGTCCGAAGAAGAATTCTAGCAGTCGGCTGCTCTGATCGGTAGTTTTCCTTGGTTTCTCCGATCAGCACGTGAATATAGGAGCAGTACCCGAACAACGGAACTCGGGCATTTGCGCGCCTTCCCCCGACCTGTCTTAACCTTATCCCTTACTTACAGACTTACACTACTACACGTGTCGGGAAACTTCAAAAAGCTCTCAAGGCAAAAAGAAGCAGAATTTGTCCAATGAACTACTTTAATATTCCGAATGGCTGACCCGCAATAAGCACTCAAATGTTGGTTTGACAAAATACTTTCTATGCAAAAATGTTGCATTGCTGAAGCCTATAAATACTCCAGAAACATGTAAATTGTTTATTAATTACAAAATAAATGAATATATTTGCTCACAAATAATAATTAATCCAGAAAAAAATAATCGAATTGTGTATATTACTTTTGTATTCCTGTGTTAATTTTTCTATCTGAACAAATATTTTAATTGTAATCTTTTGTAAATAAACAATTTACACGTTTCTGGAGTGTTTATATGCTTTTACAATGCAAATTTTTCGCATAGAAAGTACTTTTTCAACCAACTTTTGAGTGCTTATTGCGGCTCAGCCATTCGGAATATCCAAGTAGTTTATTAGACAAAATATGCTTAAAATTGTCTTCAGAGCTTATTTTCGACGTTTTCTTCCCGGATATTATGTATTTCTGACTAAATGTCTGTAAATCGCTGCCAAGATTTACAGAAAAATACACATTGCCGTGGTAAAATAAAAAGTTAATTACTCACGTGAATTATACGAAAAAATGTTAAAATTTCTTATTATATTCAAAACCGATTTCATCTTGAGTTCAGTAGTAGAATAGTATTATCTCATGTAAAGAGCATAATGCAGCTTATTACATTATCAATATCTTCCACGATTAAGGTTATTTTGTGTTACGGACGAGTCACTGCAACGACACGGGTCAAAAAATTCCCCCGACTTTTGAACCTGCACTTTCAAGATCTAGCAGAGTTGCTTTTAGACGCAAGTCTATCACTGTACTTACGTACCCCTAAACCACTTTCAGTATCGTCCAGCTTTCCACGTTGTCTATTCAACGACTTTCCGATTACGGTGTACTATCTCAATGTGCCTATTAATTACCGGTGATTTTATTCCTTTTCGGTTAATTTTATTACCCAATTGAACTCAATGATGTCCATGCATCATTTTATTAGCGTTTTGTTAGGTATTTACGCCGTGAAAACGAAGGAAGTAAAACTTCAACATATTTCATAATGACAAGAAACATTCAAACCTAATTTGATGAAAAGTTAACATTTGCGTAACTTTCAAATTTTTAGATGGACAATTTTTCACATTTTTCAATTTTTCGGTTCCATAATGGTAGAGTTGAAATAACACATGATATTTTAGAAGAGCAATCACCTGTATGCAAATTTTCAATGAAAACTTTGCAGTTTTTGTGAAAATACCATTTGAGCGTTTATGAAGATGCCTAATTTAGGGCTAATTTTCACAAAATTGCACGAAAACTAATATTTAAAAAATGTAGTTCTATATGAACAGGAAAACAAATTTTATTTGAGGGGAAAATCTCTACGTTCAGGAATGTAGTTGTACGAGGAGGTTCATAAAATTTCAAACTTAAGTAATAATGAAAACTTCGTGTTTACAATAAAACTCGGACATCGCCGTTTTTCGATGTGTAGTTCACACTAATCTTACCTATAATTTAAAGAAAATATTTGGAGCCGTTTTTCAGAACATTCTGAAAATGTTCCAGGAGCTTCGCGTAAATTACCCCGATCAACGAAAATAAGACATGCGACATTTTTGAGAGTCCTTTGCTCTATCCGAGTATAGAATTTAAAGAAAAATTTGGAGCTGTTTTTGCGAAAAAATATAAATAGCTTTATTTGAAGCGAAAATATTGCGAAAAATACTTTTTCAAAAAAGTTTGCATGAACTTATTTCAATATTTTTTTAGAACAGATTACAGTAAGATAATGAGGTGACTAATGTTCCAGTTTGCTTCATACGTTACATTTCATACATGCGCTACCCTGACACTAAGAGATCCATGGAATAGTTTCTGAAGAGAGGCGCATCTCATTAAATTAGTGCAGTTTTCGAAAATGACGAGGCTTCATTTAGAGTACCCCTAAAAATCTAAATATCCGTTTGAAACACGCTGGGCCTCGAAATCCTTTAAATCGATCGGGAAATATCAATTTTGGAGAAAATCTCTCAAGGATTCGTTGCATTTACACGGATAGACTATTTGCCGTCAATCGATATCTTCGTATCAAGGACCCACAAAACATAGACTCTGACTAAATCATTGTTGACACATGGACCACCCAATTCAAATTTGGCGTCACGCTTTGAACAGTTCTGTTTCGCTGCTTTTTGAATGCGGTTTAGAAGAAAGTATCATACTTTTCAAACTTCTCGCCTTCAAGTCTAATCTTGCTCAAAAACCGCGCTATTTCCTTCCCAATTGACCAAATACTAATTTTTTGCACAAAGTTCTTTGACGTCGATTGTCAAGTGCTTTCTGTTAGTTCGAAGAGTCACTAAAAGATCCCATCATCTCCTGGGCGGCCGCGACGAAACATTTACCCATTGTCAGATTTCTCGGAATCAACTTTTTCCACATCAGAAGCGACGAACTCGCATTGTTATGAAAATCAGAGGAGTTGTGAGCAGTTTCGTACCGATTGTGCACAGAAGCTAAGTGAAACATGTGTTGGGCGCATTGAAAGTTTAATTCGGCACGCTGCCAAGCAATTCCCAGCACATTTCTGCAGTCTACGTGACTAAACGCCAAGACACGGCGTGCATAGATACCAAGCGTGAAATTCGTTAGGACGTTATTTTCGCCCAGACGGAGGTAACCATGGCAACCGCTTCAATACTCATATATTATTTCGGCAAAGTAATAATTGTTGTCAATTATGTCATTTCTTTTTCAAAACTCTCTCGTCCGATGAGAACATAGGCGATGTTCGTTGCAGTTTCTGCTAATGCTCTCCCAATTCATCTAAGCAATATTTCGCAGCCCCAATAATGTTTTAGAGGGGGTAATTATCTACGTATATAAACAAGATGTATGCGATTTTTCGTTACCAGGTCCCGGTTACAAGAGTTCTGTCGAAAAATCGCCGTATTTTCCCGCAAAATTACAATTATTTCTCTGTACCTAAGCAGAATTTCAGAAAGTAACTAGTGATACTACAGGAGGGCGCAGACTTTCTAATCTCTTTAGTCATGGCTAGCTTTTCAGTTGTTTCAAAAATTACAAACATTTTCGTAAAAATCCTGCTTACGTGTTAGTATCTAGCGTGATTCACACACATACAGACAAATAGTGTGATAGACGGCGGATGAACAGACGTTTTGACATCAATGGATATTTTGGTATCAAGGACCCCAATAAAAAAAAAAAGATTCTGACTTTACAACGTATTAGAGGAAAAAATTTACTGGACAAAATCTTTCCGTATTTTTCGTTACCAGGACACGGCGAGTTTTTCTGTTGAAAATTCCGTTTTCCCCCCGCAGCATTAAAACACTTTCTCTAAACTGCATAAGCAGTAGCGAAAAAGTAAAAATTAGTTGTTTAGATATCAAAATATTCACGAATGAATAATACTTTTGAAGGATATTTATAATTTAAAAATATTTCCAACCCCCGTACATTTTTGGAAATGGAGTGGCATTTCAGTCAAGGCTCCCCCTGGTGCCGTCTTCTCGTGTGGACCGTTCTCTAGCCCTTTCGCACCTACGACGTGTGAACTTAATTTTGATAGGAAATCACCGTGCACCTTCTGTCTTTATCGGCAGAAAACTACTCTTCCGAAGAGCTTTCATTAACAACATTCTGTATCGCACTAAATTATTGTCCGTTGGGTTATCTTTCCCTCGCGGAAATGACGGATTCTCCTATTCCGGGGCCCTCCTCCTCCTCCTCGCCCCCCTCCCCCCCTCCATGCATAGCCTTGGCAGGAAACATTACAGAGACTTCACAAAGAGCACTTTCCGCCTGTCCGTTCGTCTCAATTCGTCTGTCCGCCCGTTCGCCGCTGAAACACTTCTCTTAGCCGCTCAAACTAGTACAGGAAAGTCGTTGCCATTCTGTGGCTCCACTAGTTTACATTTCTCCATGAAATATTGAGCAATAAAGAAACCTCATTTTATTATATCTGTTTATTGCACTTGATAAACTTTGATCTAATCAATGATTAATTTTTATATGCCAATAATTTAGGTTATTGATACAGTATTTATGGAATATTATCTAAGTAAACCTTTGCAATCTGTCTCAAAAGAAAAGACATTTTTCTGTCATGAATATGTAACTTTTGTAAAGATAGTAGTTTTATGGAAGTCATGATTTTTTGTTGAATTTGCATATTTCTTCACACTGTATTTAACGTAGTATTTCCATTCAGCAAATTGCTAACTGTGTCAACAGCATATTACTTATGATTCACATGCTATTCTTTAAAACACTTAACTTGAGAAAATTAAAAATTTAAAATATTTTCTGCTACATCAGTTTTTATAGTTTATGTATATAGTGTTACATTGGGTGTAGAATCAAATACATTGTGTTAGGAAATATATAATTGCACTAGCCAAAATACTGATTTTTGATGTGATCAACTTGCACGTAATTCAATGTAATCCTGTTTGATTTACTTTGTTGCATGAACTGAATAATTTTCAGATTATTTATTGTTTTTACATTAAAATTTGAGATATTTTTACAATGTTTTGTAAAGCAATCATACTTTTCATTGCTCTTATGAAGTTATTTTGTGATTCTGTTGTAATGTTCAATATTTGTGATTTTGTTGTAATGTTCAATATGTAATTGCAGAAAAAGCCTTCATTTAGGGTACTAGTTCGTAAATTATTCCTGGTGTGTGTAATAGGGAGGGAACATTTTGATTCTGCTCTAGTGTCTAGTTCAGATTTTTATTACTCTCTTTAATTTTGGAGGACTAAACTTCAAAACTATAAATGGTCATGAGTAACATGTTTTAATTTTTAAATTAATGTCTGTTGTGTTCTTCCACAGGATTGGTGGAACGCCAACTCGTATGCTGAATATTATCGTATGTGGAACCTTGTTGTTCATGATTGGCTGTACACATATATTTTCAAAGATTATTGTTTACTAATAAAGTCGAAAAGTCGGCTAGGACCTACACTGACTGTTTTCATTGTTTCTGCTGTTGTTCATGAATATATTTTGATGTTTGTTTTTCGATTTTTTTATCCTATGTTATTTGTTGCATTTGGAGGATTTTCAGGTTTGTAGTTTATAATTAGTGTTCAGTTATAAAATATATTACAAGGAGCAAAATTCTAATGAAATTCCATTTCAGCTGCTTTAGTATTCCTCACTGGAAATTCATCAAAAGGCGGAAACTTGTTCATGTGGTTGACTCTGTGTTTGGGGACAGGTGTGCTGACAGCTGCCTACAGCATGGAGTGGTATGCTAGAATTAACTGTCCCCAAGTTCTTGTAAGTATTTTCCGTGTGACCTGAAATAAAATTTGTAATTTATTTGTTACTTCAGATATTGTATAAAAATTTATTTTCCCTTTAAGGACACAGTTACTGATTTCTTTGTTCCGCGGTCCTGGTTTTGCAATGCTGTTAAACAGTGAATATGACATGGGAGAAAAAGTTACGGGCTCTTCAAATAAAAGGTAAACATAATTTATTGAATCGATTATTTGGAAAAATATTACTCCTATTCTTATATATTCTAAAATTTTAAAATAGTTTTGCTAGTTCTTTTTTCTGTTTTGTAATTTTCAGACTGATGTTCTTCTTTATTTTTCTTTTCAGGTGGGAAACTGAGGAGAAAGAAAAGTGTAATTAAAATCTCTTTGAGATTTTTCAAGAGATAAAATCTCAGAGATTTTTTTTTTTGCTTCTCACTGGGATGTAATTAGGTGTATTTTTTATATGTAAATTATACATACAATTCTAGCAATTCTTGTTAGATAATTGAGTGCCAAAGATGTATATGATAATTAATCTGATGTAAATTATATAATACTTTGTTCATTACTAAAGTTTAAAATATATTTTTTCATATTTACTTGAGAACTAAAATTTATTTAATCCTACCATTGGTGAAACAACACTTTTAGAACAGAGTAGTTCTAAATAGAGATGCAACATTGCTGTAGTGAAGCTAATGTTTTGTTTGTTAATACTAAAATAAATGTATTCAAATCAAAAGGATGCTGCTTATACTACCATACAGAAGTGACTTGCTATATGGTACAACCTTCATTGATCAGACTAACTCTTGTCCAAAATCACCAATGTCGTATTTCCTAAATCTTTCCTTGTATTTTGCACATGCAGAAGTGCTAAATGTATGCACTGTGGTTCTTCTTCAGTGAACTAAAGCTCTTACATCTTAAGATGTCCCTAGGAGCTCTGACGTCTGGTTTGTTAATTGTTCTTATTATTTTCCACCTCTGTTTTGCCAATGAAATCTTAATAAATGACCATGGCCACTCCAAAGAAATATTGTGCTACAAGTACATTTACTATACCATTTTTCAAACATGTTTAAAAACATCAATGGTTTTTGGTCAATTGATATCATTATTGATGTTATAATTTTGAACAAAGATGCTCTGTTATCAATATTGCATCACTACTTTTACACTTTTTTTTTCCCCTTAGATCTGAAAAAGCCCTTAACATACTGTTCTTGTGTATTTATATTACTAATTTCCAATCCACACAGAAATTGAAAGATGTGTGCTATATGGCTTCGGTTTCATTAATTACCCTGGAACTCTGGGAAAAGTACAAAAATTTCTTTGTTAGTACTTTCGAACATATGCAGAAATTGAAAGAGAACTTTGGAGCCTCCCAAGAACTTGAGAAGGAAAAAACAACAAAAAAGTGTTTCAGTTTTGAATAAAAATACAAATATTTAATGGTATTATTTCACCTACTGTTGTACTGCACATATCAACTTAATTCTCGTACTCAGTGTGTCATTGCATATGACCCAGCTATGATGTGACAGCAAGGCTCCAAGAAAGATCTACCATTAAGTATTTACTATTTACATGATGCATTATGCAACACAGCTTTAAATATCTTAGTATGAAACAAACTGTCATTCTATATACTATACTATGTTATTACAGCAATCATAATGACTGTTTTGGTTAAAATATTTATTTTATTATAGGATAATAGGAAGAATTTGTTGTACTAGAGCAGTGTGCATGCTACTTTTATGAAAAGTTTCGTGTTTATTTTTCAACAGCAGTTTTGCTGCTGTTACAAAATAAATCTACATAACTTCATTGTATTGATGATTTAAGCAGTTCTTTCAAAACACCCATTAGTGGCTGTGGACCGTGACTTGTGTAAATACAAAATGGCATTTAATTTTTGTATGTATTAAGCCTGTTACCAAGTAATATTACTATCTATTCTTTTTTTTCTTCATTCTGCAATCTTTTTTATTCAGCTGTACTCTCAAAATACATAGCTTTATTTCCCTCTTGGCTTTCTTTTTGGAGTGTTAAACATCATGGTGAAAGTTATTAATTTAACTTTATTTTATTAATTTTTGATACAGCTGACCATTGATCCATAATCTTTGAGATCTAATAAATTGATCTTGTCCACCTTGTATCATTGCATTGCTTTGATTAATTCTTGCAATCATGTAAATTTTACATTGAAAAAATTGAATTCGTTCTTTGACCTTTCTTTCTAACCTATTTTTTTATTCAGCAGGAAAATCCTACTCTCCACAGGAGATAGATATATTTTTCAAATCTGGATTTAAACTTCCTGTGATATGAACAATAAACCAGCATTCAGGAAACAAGTCTTTAATCTTAAAAAATAGGGATACAAGTAGTATGCAACAAAATATATAAATTCCCTAATTTTTATAATTATAGAAATATATAATACACAATACATTGTCTTAAGAGTAACTTTCTTCAAACTTGTTTTACACTGCAATTTATACCAGAACACACTCAAATGGAATGTGAATTTATAGATCAGCTTCCAACTAGCAGCTCAACACGTAGGTTAGGCCAATCTATGTTTCCAGTGTTAGCATTTATCCTTTGCTAATTCCAAAATACATTCATGCAAGCACACAGTGAAAACAATTACAACATAATTAGAAAAAATTAAATAGTCTACTTGAAAGAGACAATATATAGTGAAGACATTGATAATTCTTAAAAAACATTGATAAACACATTAAACTGACATGACAACAAATACCACATTAGATAGCAATGTACAAATCCAAAAAAAAGAAAAAAAAAACTAAAAATATTACCAGTGAAAGCATGAGTGAATCAACTGAAAAGTTGCAGTGCATCATGTACATGCACATTAATATACTTACCCTCAATATTCATTAATATAGGAAATGAAAAATCTCTTTTCTCATGTTTTCTTTGACATGAATCTCCTAATACTGCAATTGACATTGCTAATCTAGTTTGTACACACTTAAGTACTGATAAATAAATCTAAGGCTGCCTTGATCCAAGGATGTCTCTAATGCAGGTCAGTTTTAAGCAGTTATGTCTCATGATTTTTTATTTGACCTTACGCTACACTTAAAAACCAATTAATGCAAAATAGTGTAAAACTGTCTATATTAAAAATTACCTTACACAGTATGTGCCTGGAACAATATATGTTAATGTATATGAACTGATCGATCATGCACAATGTGACGACTGTACGTGTACTATGCAATGTTCTCAAATTAAATTTATTGTTGTCATTCACATTTGTCATCTGTCAACTTTGCTAAGAAGTACTTCTTCAGCAACTTCTCACTAAACACTATGAGATTTCTTTGGTGATATATTCAGTAAATTTCAATTGCAAATAATCTACTCATTATATAATACATAATTTTTTGATTTAAGATTAGGCTTGAAAAATTAAGTATTTACAGGGAATTTTGATTTACCAATATATCTGCCAATAAAATATCAACTTTCTATTATTTCAAGCACTATCCAACAGCTGCAGTTACTCATCTTAAGTGACATTGTATTAGAATTTCTAATCTCAATATGTTACAATTAATACACCTGGAGCTTTAATTAGTCTTATGAAACATGTAAAATCCTTTACCAATGCCACTGCAACCTTACATATAACAATCGATTGTAATAAGATTTCTATATTTGATTTTCATTTTTATTCACATTGAAGTTCTAATTGATGGCCAAATTTAAATCAATTTGAATCTCAAAGATCACAGGTTACTCATTTCTACATTCTGTCACATAAATCACTTCCTGTATAACACACAATATAGTACATATATTTAACAATATATCTATATTTATCTTTCGAAATATATATTGTAACATTTTTAGACTATTTTAAGTTTTACAGAATCACTGCTCTGCAACAGTAATCAACATGATTCTCAAACCAACATATTTTATTGATGTTGGTCTAAACACTTTAACTAATACATCATACATATTTCAACTTAAAAAGGATTAACAATATGCTTCCTCTTCAGAACTGCACCCAATTGGAATTAGCAGGTGGGGCACTGAAACAAAGGTGTGATTAGTAATTAATTAGCTCATACACCTTGAAGATAAAATAACTAAGTAAATAGTGTTTAGAGCTTATTTTCAATTTTCAATTATTTTCAAAGCTGACATTTTTCTAAAAATACAACAAAACTTTCACATACTAGATTCTGTTGGTTTTCAAAATTTTTTGAACCCAACTCAAATCAAATCCTTCACTCCTGGCTGAGGAAACTTCAATCCAATTATTTTATTTTTGATAAGCACACACAAGTATAATATTTTGTGAACCATTTAAAATCACAAAACAGTAATAAATCTTTTAAAACCAATCCTAAATACTTTTGGAAACTACAACTCAAGAAGATCTGTAAAGGAATACCAAATTTTAAGCAATTTTGATCTGAAATGTTGAATGACTGTTGTCCATTGTAAAAGGAATTGTTGAATATTTTAAAATCTTTTATAGGCGTTTGAATACTGCAATACTACTTGTTAGGGAACACAACTTTAATTCTCTTGATATATCAATTATAGACATATCAATAAAATTAACAAACTGGATGAAAATAAAAGTGCTAGCCCTGACGGAGTACCTTCAATTATCATTTATATTATTAGCATTTAAATCTTCTTGTCCTTAAGGTTTCTAATAACAGACTTCAAAAGTACGACCCTAATTATTTGAATCAAGAGAGACTGATAAATTGAAACTGAAAATTCTTCCTTTTGTATAAAAAAATTAACACATTGTTAAGTGGTTGAAATAGAGAAAATAACTTTCTAGTCAATATGCCTTAAACTCTCTTGAACAAAAACTACTAGTTGACGCCATATATACTGACTTCAGTAAAACATTTGATTTCATCAAAAACAATTTACTTTTGAAAATTAATAATAGCAATAATATATACTTGCAATATCTTGATCCCTTCTGCAATTGTTCTTGAATTCCTTTTGCAATAGAATTGAATTTGTTAAATATAGGTACTTTATAAAATTCTTGTATCCTCCGGTGTGCCACAAGGCTCACACTTGGATTCGCTACTTTTTGTAAGGTTTGTAAATAATATTTATCAAATTTTTAAAAAATGTTGAATTCCTGTTACATGCTAATAATAGAGATATTTAAGAGTATAGAATTTATAGACGATGCTATGGAAATACAAGATTAACAACTTAATATTTTGCTGTTCTACAAATGAATTGCATCCCAAGCAAATGCAAATTGACAGCATTTACCACAAGTAACAGTTTTCTAAATAGTTCTAATGCAATTAATAATATTAACCTGGAAAATGTACATTCAATTAGAGATCTTGGTATTATTTATGACAGTAAAAGAAATTTGATTGTATTTATAGAATAATTAATAAATCCTTGTAACAACTAGGTTTGGTAAAGAGAATTTGTGAGAAGCTACAGGAGCTGTGCTGCCCTGAGAAGTATGTATTATTCATTACTTAGGAATCATTTGATGTTTTCATCTTATTTGGTTGCCTTAGGTTGAATAACTATTCAATAGTTTGGAAACAGTTTATCACTTTTTCTTTACCTCTCAAAAGACTTTGTTTACCGTATCAATTTTTCACTCATAATTGCACAAATACAATTCCTAGCATCAAGAATACCTACTTTAAAATCTTTAAGAATTTATAACTATATTGTATTTTTGTACAAATTAATACATAGTATCATTCAGTCACCTTTATTGAATTGTTTCAAGTTCCAAGCAAATCCACTAGATATTTTGGGCCATTCATTTTGCAACATATATGTTTTACACTAAAAAAATCATCTGACCAAGCCACAGTTTTCCTGACCTCTTGAGGTTCAATCGATAGTCACCAGCCCAGGAAAGATGCTGCATGAGATGTGCTGTTAGCAAAGGCACTTGAGTTTGTCTTCTGCTGCCATAACCCATGAAAGCCAAATTTCATTGGGCTCTCTTGATGGATATGTTTATTGTACGTCCCACATTGATTTATGCAGTTATTTCATGCTTTCATGAGTTGCTTTTCTGTTAGCACTGGCACCAATACACAAATGCCACAGCTCTTGGTCTTTAAGTGAAAGCCACTGACCACTGCATCGTCCGAGGTGAGAGGTTATGCCTGAAATTAGGTTTTCTTGACACACTCTAGATACTGTGGATCTTGGAACATTGAATTTCCTACTACCATTCTGCGATACAAGTCAGTGGGCCACGATTACATCTGAAACCTTTCCATATGAATCCCTTGAGTACAAGTGGAAGCTCTGCCAATGCACTGCCCTTTCTTGCCCTTTTGTACACCATACTCTCTACCATTGCTCTCTGCATATTGCTATCCTGTGACTTATAACACTAATGTATGTACTAACTGTATGTACTTCAAATAATGCTAAAACCCACTGGGTATATGTACATGTGTTTGTTTTTTTTCTTTTAAGTGGAAAAGATAAGCATCTTTTAAATTCATTCTTGCATGTTCAGTTCATTTCTTAGGCAGACTATAATTCTTCCAAGGAAAAGAATTGTATTTACAATTTACTATTAGCATACAATTCTTAGTGTGTGAAAAATTGTTAAAAGGAAGTATCCTAAAAACAATCATTTACATTAGCAAGAATAACATGAACATGCCATTAGCCTTCCTTATTAATAAATTCTTAATTTTATAAATGCCTCATAGGCAGTACCTTGGTTGAGCTGCAGGAGTTGTAGATCTTGCGCTTGTGAAATCTCCCCACGATTCTCCAGTTCCACTTCTGGGTTGCACTGGGGAGGCTCCCCCAGATGCACCAGAGGCTTCTGCTTGCCCTGCATCAAAAAGCAGATTGGCACTACCAGCAACGGGTAACTGTGCACTGTGAGACGGTGTGGTTGCAGGAGAGTTCTTGGAGCTCCCTGCTGGAGGAGGTGCTATTTTCACACCGCCTGGAGGAGGAGGTAATATTCCGGTACTGGTATTGGTCTTTGTTTTGGGTCTGCTCACAACTTCGCTTCCATCTTTCTTCTGCAAAAAATAAAATAAAAAGTAAGTTAATAAAAAAGTTCTAAAAACTTAGTAAGCATTAAAAGAAAACTGTAATTTGGGTAGAAAAAGTTTATTTCAACCTAACAAAACTAACAAATCCACAACACACAAGAAGAATAAGCAAATGAAAATGAAACTGAGTTACAACAATACAACCAAATATGTAAATAAGAAAAATATTTTTGTTTATATTTAACATTTCCTTATAATTACAGGCAATCAATATAGATTGAGGATAAACAGTAGTGATTATTAACAAAGTTATTTGCAAATATTTACTCATCGGTAATGTTACTACTTTGCGAAAGCAGATTTGCTTCCATCTTCAGGTGAATTTCAAGCTAAAAGAGTACACAACATTACAACGGAAAATACAACATTCTTGCAATACACGGTATAACAAGCAAGGGAACACAAAATACAGGTAGATGAAAGCCTACCTTCCATTTTCAAAAACTAATTACAAAATTAATAGAGAAGCATGCATACTCTTAATAAATAAGACATCACCTTGTGGAGATGTGTGGAGCACATGGAGTGAAAGCAACTGAGAGAATGTCTGTGGAACTGAAGCAGGAAAGATGGGAAGAGGAGGGGGTGCAGGTAAAGTGGAGGAAGAGTTTAGGTCCATCTTGCATGCAAAAAAGCTCAAGAATATTGATATTTATGAATAATAATATTTTATGCTTTAGTAAAATTGATAGTTCTCCAGATTGGTGTTCACAGAATTGTGAAATTTCATCTATAATGTCTGGGAAACCAGTTGGGGGTATCACTTCAGATCTCAATGATGGAAACATTAGGAAAATCTGAAGTGACCCATTTCTAAACACCGTGCCTCATGGTATATATAAATAGAACTTAAATGAAAACTCTCCTGAAGAAAATAAAATAAATGTAACTTCTACCCATTGCGTGTCACACAGTTTTTTGCCATGAATAAATAAATAAAATGCAGCACTTTAAAGAATTTCGGTGATATAGAATGTACAAGTTAAAAGCAAAGTCAAATCCCCAATTAGCCTTTCAATAATGGCAAAAGCCACCCCAAATCTCTGTAATGAACAAGCAAATTTTGTAAACTGCAAATTTGCTCCGCAAATTTTAATTGTAGGCACTTACAGTTATTTTCATATTTATTTTAATGGTTTCTCCTTCTTTAAATCGCAAATCCAGTTCTTGTTTAGGTTCTTCCTTTTCTTTTTCTATTTCTTCTGACTTTTTCAGCCATTTAAAGTGGTCTTGCAAAGCAACATTGAGATCAAAACTATCAGAGCGATCAGCAAATCCCAATCCAATGAAAGCTGACCTTCCTGCAAATATTGATTTCCTAATCAGTGTGAAAATTAGTATAATTAAACACAAACGTAATTAAAATCAAAAAAATTAAGCATACATAATTTTCATGAAATAAAACCTTGATAAAAGAAAAATCTAACAAATAATAAGAAAGAATAACTAAGTACATTTGCAATGTGATGTTAAAAGGAAGGTAATCAATATACAATTTCGCAAGCAATAAGAACTTTCCAAGCATTACAAATTCTCCAAGTTCTTGCTAATAAATGACAATAACGTCAAGCACTTTACTGTTTATCTTATACCATAATCTCTACTTATACATTGTCATAGGTAATGCTTCAAGAATCTTAAATGCAATCTACAACACTAATGCATACATTCCGACATAAGTACAAACCTATATTTCTCAAAAAAAAAAAAAAAATTTTTTGAGCTGAAATACTGGGCATTATTCTCAACCGAGCAAAGCAACTATTGAAACTTCTCAACAATTTATGTTCGGAATTATTTTCATTTTAATTAGATAATAATATGTCAAATTCAATGTCACAACTGAAGAAAATTAATCCAATCAAACTTCACTTATTTAAATTTTGACAATTAAAGAAAAACGTGACAATGTTTCTCAAATTTAAGATATCAAGACCAATCCATAATTTTGAGGCAGTCTCTCTCCAATTAAGCAGCTAATATGAACTTGCCTGACTTTTTTTTAAATGACCAACAATTATGTTGTTTTTTGTCAATTTAATTATGTCTTCTAATACAAACAAACAAAACCCTTTTTTCTCCCTTAGCTTAGATGTTCTAATGCTACGAGGCACCCTGAACTCTATTCAAAGAATATTAATATATTCTGCAATTTTCAATACCTCCATCATCTTGAATCCTAATGACAAAATATCGAGATGAGTCTGTTACTGATTCTATGGCAAGGCCTGGGTATTGATCTATAGGACATTTTGCAAAAAGTTCTCCTGTTGTCTTGTCCTCTAGCTTCAAAACACAATCTTTTCCTTTTGAGACCAACCGCAACCTGCCAACCCAATGAGGTTCATTCAGATTCCAGTCAGCTGCCCTGTAAACAATACATAAGACTCAGTCAAAGCAACCAAAATTTCAGTTGAAAGCAACACAGGGTCCACTATTAATAAGATAAGGGATATTTATTTTTGCTATAATTTATCACAATACATGTATATACATGAATTGTCAAATTAAGGTAACCTGAATTTTACTTTAGTAATTGAGTATACTCAACAAACGCATTACCATAAATCATTTTCTGAGCATCTCAAAAAATAATGAAAAGTGGAGCCAAGCGAGTCTCTTTTTACAGTACGAATTTGGAATTAGCTGTTATTTGGGAAGATTTCTTAAACAAAATAAAAAGTTTACCATGCATCCTGTACAGTGTTTTATTGGTACTTTCATTTAATCTATATAATAGACATAAGAATTAATGTACATCCCATTCGCTGGTAAAAATTTTGTTCTGTATAACTCTTAACTCTTTCTTGTCTCCATAAAGAGATAAATGCAGGCCATTTCCTCCTGATAACTTCCGCGACTGACAGCTGCCTCTACGAACTTCCACGTATGACATGAGGCACTTCTATTTCAGAGCTAGATATATGTAGTTAAACGGCAGTAACAGTTGATAAAATTTAAACCAATTAATCCTGAACGTCCAGTAAATTTACCTGTGCCCTCTATTCGTTGTTCTCGGTGGGATTTTGTATACCATTGTTTCAGATTTCACGAGCAACACACTTTCGTACGACTCCATTTTCACACAATACCACTGCTGAGTGCCGAACAGACCACTGCCAGGCCAGGCAGTCACTGCCCTCTAGCGTGTGATGAGGGAGGCTGTGAATCGAAGACCTTTGGAGAAACTGTCTCTGAATGGTCGAACAATTCCCTCCCACGTCGCCTGGGTCGCCACTAACCACGTGTCACATAACTTGGCTGTCGCAAATGGGTCAAAATACTGGAAATCGTGGTAACTGAATTCATATTTTTTGTATGGATTCTTCACTTGAAGTATTGTACGATACATGACATACGGAAAAGTTTTACTTCCGCCATCGCCCGATGGGCATGCTCGCAACCTTAGGCAATTTCATTAATTTAATTTAAGTCTGGCATTGCAACTATTTAACAAATCAGGACAAGGAGGAATAAACATTTTATATTATTCGATCTAATTTTAAAAAGAGAAATTAAGAACAATCGTAGTTCTTTTATGTGATACAATAAGTTAGGAAAACCTAAAAATTGTCAACGATCAATATTATATCGTAATGGGTGCATTTACAGCGTTGCAAAAATAGAGGACAGTCGTTAATATTGGAAATAGGTGAAATAATGTTATTCATTTCGTTTGACAAATATTTCAACTTTTGCTTTAAGCATATTCAATCACGTTTTAACTATTTTTTTATTAAACGCTTGGTAATCTCCTCAAGCACGCGTTCCTTTCTCTCTAGAACGCTATATAATAACATATTGTTCAAGTTAGATAACATTAATAATGTGACCAATCGTCCTCCTTTAGGGAGGACAGTCCTTCTTTTGTAGGTTCTGTCCTCCTTCGAAAAGTGTCCTCCATTACAATATTTGAAGACCTTTTTGTTAAACTCCGAATTTGGAGATGCCACGCCGAACTATTACGCTTCACGTGACTGTATAGTTCGGAAATACGCGATTAGGTCGACAGATCAGAAGAATTTCTGCCAAATTCAGTCGTTTCAGCTTCATTGTTTCATATTTTTGGACAAATGTGAAATCAAGATTGAATGTTGATTCTCCAGCTGCAGCATTTGCCGTTAAATTTAATATGAAGAATACTTCTTGCTCCGAAATGTCCCATACATTGACAAAATATATTCATTCAATAGAAAAATACTTTTTTAATTAAATAATTAAAAGGGATGAATGCATAATTAGTGTATTTTTGTTTGAATTAATAAAATGTTTCATTTATTTACGTTGTCCTTTTCTCTTAATATTTTTTTGTCTTCTTTTGCATTGCAAAAAAAAATTGGCCACCTTACAAATAATTGATGCTACATCAGTCCAGACTTTTGATCGCAACGAAAATGAATTGCAACAAAGTGCTGACTGGGGAGTGCAAGTTGCAGTTGTAGCAATGAGGGTCGCCTTTGTGTCAATTGGCTTGAGTTTCATGAGTTGTAAATATGGCAAAAACATAAATATATTTTAGAACTTTCTTCTGCTTACATAGTTCATGCGTTAGATTATTGATAAAATCATATATTTTTTAAAAATTTTACTTCAATTTCACAAAAGTAGGATAAATAGGTTCTTTTTTGAGTTGACTGAAAATTGAAGCAGTGCTGCAATCTGTTTTCAGCAGCATAGTTTCACTCTCTCGACATGTGAGTTACAATTGTGAAGAGTTATGAGTAATTCCGCTACGTGTGGTAATATAAAGGTATAATATGTGCTGTAATATAATGATTCAGAATAAATCTTAGAAACTTCTAAAGCATGTAGAGGTTCGAAAATGATCATTTTTTTCCAGTGAACTTGTAATGGGAAATTTCATAAAACGGAGTTATCGTGTGATATTTCTCCGTGATTTTTAGGCAACTCCTTGTGCACAGATCAGCAGGTCACGTTCTAACGCCGACAAGGAGATTCCATGTACGTGCCGAACATCTTTTCTTATGGGACTCCTATAGTACGATTTGTGTATTCGTGCACTTAACGTGAATCAGCTGTTGCGGTTTCATATATATAACAAAATTAAACACCAAATTAAGTTAATTATGTTACGCAGTCAGAATTCTTTAAAATTCTGTCAGCCTTCATGCAGCTCCTTCTTGCGTGTATTTTGCAAATGTACAATCCCGCCTGAGGTATGGCATAAAATTCTGGGGAAACTCATCATGTAGTACTCAGACCTTAAGATTGCAAAAGAAAATTATTCGAATAATGAAAAAATGTCATCCGCGTGATCCGTGCAAGCCTCTCTTCATTGAGCTTGGAATCTTACCATTGCTTTGCCTATATATTTACGTACTGTAATATTACTGTAATAGTTGTCAAAAGTGACTTATTTAACGGTGGGAACATATTTTCAAGCAATACTGATATTTATAATTAGACGTCGTAAAAATCTCGTTCATCAAGTGTCAATTTGAACAACTCACTATCAGAAATCCACATACAATACATGAACGTTACTTTACAACGCACTGCTTGATGACATTAAACAATTAAAGTCGGTTCACAAATTTAAGGTAAAAGTAAAATCTTTTCTGCTGCATAACTGTTTCTATAAAATTAGAGACTATACTGATTATCAAAAATAAAACAAATGTTTATTTTAACAAAACAGTTATGTATATTAAATTAGTATACAATTGTATTGTATAATTTTTTTAAAAGACTTAATATGTTTGTAACAAATAATGTACTTTAGCTTCCGGGTCAATGATCCCCATCTCGATCAGGTTTTTGTCCAGTTTCCCTGATCCATGGAGCAAATGCTGAGATGGTCCCTTGTTTTGTTTCTGGTCGTAAATGTAGCTTCACTGTGCGCACGTTTTGTTGAACTCTCCTTTTGCTTGTAATGATAGGAGAAGAGGTATGGGCGAGTTAATATTTTGTTAGCAATGCAGAAAACTCATACTTGCAATTCGTTTACCGATGCAAATAAGTTTTCTATAACTCGGAAACCAAAATGTTTTTTTTTTCAAATATTGCTAATCTCGCGATTTTTAATATATTTTTTTGTTTATTTATTTTAAAGTTATACGCATCTTTCAACTCTGTATAGTTAACATGACGGGAGGGATTCTGGAACTCAAGAAAACGTGCGCAAATAATCTTCTCACCCATACGTGACATGCAGTTTTTTTTTTGCTGTTTTTTTACTAAATAAATATAAATCTAAATCCAATCGGGAGCTTGAATATCGCTACAGTGACGCGACTATGTGAACGTCCAAGCACCCGATTGGATGAAACCGTGAACAGCTGATTTTCGTCAAGTGCACGGTTAAATAAACCCTAGTATCACAATCTGGGACAAGTGCCATTGCTTATATGTTTATAACTCCGTCATATGCAATTATCCATTATATATTCATTGGCAAAATGTAATAATTTTCTACTCTTCTGCTTCTTCTAAAAGTTGGTGTAGAGCAATTTTTATACAATGGGACGTTTTGACAGCTAGTGCTGGCAACACATCTGAAGGTTCTGCTGTCGTTGTGTCCTTGAGCGTTTTAGACTCTTCTTGCTCCATTCGTTCGTTTGTAGTTGGCAAACTTGTAAATTGCTTTGACGCTTCCTTTTGTGATGTCCTCGACTGACGAAAATGTAGTGCGCCACGAGAAATAATTGTAATTAGGATGCTCTTCTCTAAAAATTATTTTTTACAAACATTACATTGAATTTAGGTTTTGTGTGATAAGTATTATGTTAATTTTAAAACCGAGTCTTGAATGGGAGATGCGCACTGGTGGCGGTGCACAAGTTACCGGCTCCTATGTTGTAAGGCGGAGAGCTGTGTTCGAGAGCGTTTCGTGGTTCTGTGCTTTGCTTTATGTATATAATTGTGACGCAATCGTGAAGCCAGAGTGGGCGCAAAGGGCAAAATGAAGTTTGATTCTCTTATACATGTATAATGCTGTTATACAAAAAAATATAGTATGCAAATCGTTTATAAAGATGCTTTATTACATTAGTACAAATTTAAAACCCTCTCCTAAAGTCGCTCGTTTTCAAAACATATGCTCATGCAATACAGCTTAACATTATAAACTAATTGCGTAAACTACTATTAAACGTACCCTGAAAAATCATTTTTCTTTCCATTTAAATTCGTGGCATTTTTCTTTTACTGAATATGTTCATGTGCAAACAGTTTTCCACATATACGTAATTAAATTTCATTATAAACTACCTGTTTATGATACGGATTACGAACCTTTTTACTTTCCCGAATACGTACTTATATACTGAGTAATATAAGTAGTATAGGAAAAGTTATATTGTGCTGCGGAAAATCGATTTTGAGATTTCAACGAAAATACACGTTTTGGGGTCCCCTGATACTGAAAAAGTGTTTTTTTTTCAATTCCGTCTTACCGTTTGTCTGTCCGTCTATAAACAACGCTAGCGCCTAAACCACAGCCGAAAATGAGAATATGAACGCCGCACTTAAAATTCATTTTCTTAAAAACTGCTCTAAATTGTTTAAAGAAAATTGAAATTTAGGAAAGGGTTATATGCTTTTTAATATTATTAAAATATTTTCGTTCTATTATTAGTAAATTGATAAAATAAGAACGACCGTTTGTCTGTTCATGAACACCACTAGCGCTTAAACCTTACGTAGGCGTTTTTCCAAAACGGATAATTCCGGGTCGATCTGGCTCGACTCAAGGAACTGCGATTTTGAAAAACTTTCATCAAAATTTGGGGGTACTTTACATGAAGCCCCCCGGGCATTTTCCAAATTTTCTCAAAAACGGCTCCAAATTGTTTCTTTAAGTTTCTTGTAAAAATAGAGCTAATACACTTATAGTGGTGGCATATGTCCGATTTTCAAGGTTAACTCTGAATTTTGAAATTTTTCGAAATTTTGAATTTTTTCAGGCGTTTTCCTACAACTATATAATTGAAGATATTTTTTCTAAAAATAAAATTTGTTTTACATTCTGATTTTTTCATTGTCATAAACATTTTTTAATATTTCAATAGTTTTGCGCAATATTGCGTACAATATTTGCAATTATTGCATTTATGAGTAAATTTGGAGCTTCAAGTACCCCCAAATTTTAAAAAACGTCTTCCAAAATCTCAAAGTTTCGACTCGAGCCAGATGGACAAGGGTTTCTACAATTTGGAAAAAATCCTATGTATGGTTTATGCGCTAGTGGTGTTCACAGACGTACGGACTGACAGACAGACAGATGAGCGCTTTGAACACTTTTTCGGTATCAGGGGACCCCAAAATGTGCATTTCTGTTGAAATCCCGTAATAGATTTTCCGCAGCATTACCTTACTTTCCCTATAATAC